ATATGAGAAAGTAGGGATGGCCTTCATTTTTAGGAATTTGACTTTTGTTCTTTCATTTTCTTCCGTTCTATCCCAGATCATCTCTGGTTTCCCTGGTCAGACGGTTGGCTGTGGTAGCCAGACACCATCTAGTTGCTCCCGTCTCTGGTTAGAAGAAGCTGTGCATTGGGTGTTAGTCCCAGAGGGGACAAGATTTTAACTGCTAAGATCCCCAGATCCATAGCCTCTGCCCTTGAACCTGCCTCTGGGGACTGGGCCGTCAGCATTGGCTTGGAGCTCAGCCCAGCCGTGGACCTGGTTGCTGGGCTCACTTTGGCTCTTGGCTTTCAGCATCCAGCTTCCCACGACACCCTGGGAGAAAGTTGGTCTCTGTGAAAGTAGTGCTGTATTGTGGGGAGTCCCTTCTCCCCCACATACACACTTAGGCCACTCGAAGAAATGTGTGGGTTGTACAGAGAGCCGTGGCTGCTCTGCAGACTTTGTTTCTTAAGTTTCAGGAAGGAGTTTGTAAAAAGAAACAACAACAACAAAAAAATCAATAAGGAAACCAGAAAAGAACAGTAAAGCCTGGGCTCAGAAGGTGAGCAAATACAGTCACGGGGTCAGCACCTGCTGTATTTGTGTAGGGTGAAGCGTCTTTAAGAGTGAAGTTCCTGCCAGTGAGAAGTCAGCCCTGCACTCCCCATGGCAGGACGGCGGGTGTGCCGAGTAGGCCTCACAGGAATGTGGTTGTTTCGCTGTGATGTGCCATCCAGTCAGTTCCACTCTCAAAGGAACAGTGACTGTTGGCTGGGCAGAGTGAAGAGACTTGAATTTAGTGCAAGCGTGATCTAAGATGCCACAGTTCGCTGATGGCAATAGAGGATGCATCGTTGAATTTTCACTTCGGATAAAGGAAATAATTTTTAGTGCACCTGTGTCTTATGTAAAACTTGGGACATACTCACACCCCCAAATTATTCACTGTTTATCTAAAAGCGCAAATGTGGCTGGATATGCGGTATGTGTCTGATCCAGCAGCCGAAGCTACAGTGAACTGTGAATTTGTCTAATAGCCATCCACGGGCTGAAGATGTATTTCCATCTTTGACATAAGTAACACGTGTGCTGTACCTTGCTTACAACCCCCTTGTGCATTAGCTTCCTCTGTGCACTTGTAGTCACACTACGCGCCAAAAGAAAACCCCAACCAAACCACGGACTCCTCCTCAGGGTCTGGCGTTAGCAAAGTACGCCCGGAAGTATCAGATGCCGAGGAATGCTGACTGTGATCACGGTCATGTCTCTGTGGTAAGGCTGGGCGGTAGTTCCCAGTGGTGGGACAATTATATGGTGATACAATTTGACAGGTCTATTACCGATGTAGTCATCTTCCTGATAGGTAAACTGAGGCACAGAATGACCGTAGAATTGAGACGAGGAACGTGAAGTTGTGAAGTTGAGTGACTTTATTAGAGCAGACAAAGAGCTGCCGGGTGGGTTCTGCGACCCAATGAGTTAGGTTGGGGAAATTGCACCTGTCAGCAGGGCAGTGGGACATATATGTAGGGCCTGAGTTAGGGAGGTGTGTGCTGATAAGGAGGAAGGCTTCCAGGTGCTGCAGCTGCAGGGTCTGAGTCACGATGTGGCTTATGTGCAGGTTATCTTGTTTTTCACAGACCAGCTTCTTGGAATTTGGGGGAAGGGGCTGCAAGTCCAGATCTGGTCTTGGGATGCTGGGGGAAGGGGACGCACATTCCAGCAGGCCATCTTCCTGGAGGGCTGGGGGAAGGGGCCGCACAGACCAGACCCGGCCCAAACACTTCCATGTTCCCATAATGCCTAGTTTCTCATAATGTCTTGGGCTCTGAGACTGAACCGCGTCCTTAAGGGAGAACTGGCCATGTCTATTGGTTAGTTATTCCATATTGAGAGCTTTCTTCTCCCAAGTCAGGAGTCACTGGGACCAACAGAAAGGACTGTGACACAGCGTAGGGTAGAATTATAAAGGCACTCAAACTGCCATTCAGTTGAGTCGACTCATAGTGAGCCTTAGCCAGAGTAGAACTGCCCCTGTGGGTTTCTGAGACTGTAGTTCTTTATGGGAGTATCCCTGTCTTTCTCCCAAGGAATGGCTTGTGGTTTCGAACTGCTGCCCTTGGGGATTGTAGCCCATCGCAAAACCAATCAGGGCTCCTATAAAGGTGCTTAGAGAGAGTAAAATCTAAGTGGGGGCAGGGAGAGGTTATCACCAGCAGGAAGCTACCACTCTCCAGGGCTGCAGGGTTTGAGGGAAGAGAGGTATCACCAGAGCCCCAGGACTGAGGCTGCCTCGTGGGACTGGACCCTTCGGACCCCAGAAGCTGTGGACAGAAGCTGGAATCCCATCGAGATTGGGGAGCGCCTTTCTGTCCTCCGTGTCCCTCATGCTACCTCACATGATCCAAATTCAGCCAGGAACCCGATGGCCAGTGACCCAGACAAGGGTCTTGAGGAGTCAGGCCCCTGGATAGAGAGAGTGTGGAGCAGGGGATGGCTGGGCTAGGAATCTGAGACCAG